ATGAAGGATTATGTGGGAAGAAGGGAGAATTGCCCGTTTGAGCAAGTTTGAGCAAGTTCATGGCTATATAAGCTAGAGAGAGGGATGGCCTTAACCCTCTGTCGCCACGCATTGTGATGCGCTGGGATATTGGAAAAGACTCCCTGTTGATGCTGTGGTGTGCGCCCACGGCGAAACGCGTCGGAGTATCGTGTACTGATTTTTAATGACATATCTGTTTTTTCCTATTTGGCAGGGCTGGTATCTGATTGTGCTTCTTGTGCGTGATCTTCCAGCTCTCAATGCAGTGTGGCCGCTGTGTTTCTCCTCTTAACTCGGAGATCGTGGTAACGTACTTTGCCTTGACGAAGATTTGGTGGCTACGTTTGATGGTGTGTTCGTGTGATCGTGAGACAAAGTGATTGTGATATCGTGTGACCAGGTGGTCTGGTGAGCGAGTGGCAGGTTGCACGCGCAGGGAGGTGCATTCGAGCTCGTGATACGTGAACGGTGGAATTTCCGATAGTTGCTCATTTTTTACGCATCGACGGACGGATCTGTTGGGGTCCGGACTAGACTGGGGGAAGTTGGGAAGGTTGAGATATCTGCATACCGAAGCATGATTGCGGAGGTATGAGAGCAAGGGGGTATTGGTTGATTGCGTTACTGGCGGTACGAGTTGGAAGCGTAGCCATTGCTTGGGGAAGTCGGAGGTGTCTTTCAGGTTACGGGGGTAGAATATTGGAAGTAACGATTACACTGACTATTCGGAGTAGCTCCTTTTGAATTGAAGGGAAAGAGAGAAAAAAATGGATATGAATAGTAGAGATATTAGGGAAGCCGAGTTGGAAAGATTGTGGAGCAATTTCGAGAGAGAAGTGAATGGCTTGGTATCTATACTTCATATTACACTACACGAGCAATCTTTAGACACGAAGAACCAGCTTATTACTCAGTTTGACAGGGTATTAGGTAGGGTATTAGGTAGGGTGTATAGTGTTGGTTGTATATTGAGGGATTTTAGAAATAGACGAGAAAGACTTAACCGAAGAAGGCAGCAAAATGATGAGTAATCAAGCGGGAGTTTTTCAGAGTAAGCAACAACTGCCCTTTAATGGGCAACAACCAAGTGGTGGTGCAAGTACGGGGAATTTGAGCCAAGGTACAGTCGTATGCTACATATGCGGAAAATCGGGGCACTACTCACGAAACTGTTTGCAGGCTGTGTATCGAGGGCGGTTCCAGCAGCATCCGGAAAATGATGAGATGAGGGAGTATTACCGAAGGGCGATTCAGTGAGAGAAAGAGGAGAATGAGAAGAGAATGAAGGAGGAGGAGGAAAGGAAGAGGACGGGGGCAAAAATCAAAAGAGAATCAGTGAAGTTGAGGGAAGCAGAAGCAAGAGAAGCTCGACTAGAAGCCACGATTGTAAGGTTGTTGTCGTTGAACAATAGAACGCAGTACTCTATAACCGCGGCTTCACTAGTTATTAAGAAGAAATCGCCAAAAACAAAGGTGAAGATGCTAAAGGAAATCCGGAGTTATATAGATTAATCGGAGGATGACAGCGAGGAGGTGAGGGAAGAACCCAGGAAGTTGGTGGAAGCCATTGAACGAAGGAAGAGAGCGCGAAAAAGGCGAATCTCTGAGGAAGAGGAGAAACAATCGGCACTGAAGATGGGCAAAGCCACGATTGAGACTCCTGAGGAAAAGTGGAAAGATTAAGTGAAAACCCCGATGAAAGGCCTCTCAGCTTCGTGTTCCAATGAAGGCATGGTGGAGTACGCCCTCGAAGTACATAGAAGGATGTCCGCAAAGAAGGCAGTGGAACTACGCAAGATCTGCAACAAGGAAGGGATTCTGTGGTCTAAGCGGGATGAAGTGATTTGCGAGTTAGTCCGGTTTAGAACCCGGTTGGCTTACGAAGGTTTCAGCGAGAAGAAGGCAGATATCTCTCCAGTGGGAGAGAAGTGAGGTTAGAATGGGGGACGAAATGGCTACGATAGAAGAATTGAAGGTAAGTATGCTAGCCAGATTGGACAAGGTAGGCGATGATGGAAAGCTGGTGCATGCAAACCTAGAAAGCCTAGTCACGAGGAAGTTTCTACTTCTGGCGGTGAGAGGTTGTTTTCCGTGGATGAAGAAATGGTTAAGCATTATGAATGAGGAAGCTGTGAGTAAGGTTGATACAAGAGAAGCGGGAGTCTATATTATTGTGAGTCCCTGTTGTAAACACATGTATATCGGATGCATGATTAGAAAGGTGATAACCAAATGGGTTGAGCATGTTAGGTGTACTACATCGGGCAACCTGGGAAACGCAAGAAAATTATATGCATGGTTGAGACATTTTGGATGCGAAAAGTATGTCATCCTTCCAGTATTGATTGGAGTTGTTGACCCTCTAAGTGTAGAGACTATGTTGATCTCGAGATTTTCACCTGCACTCAATAGTATAGGTAGAAAGCAGGGTGGTCCGAAGAAGAAAAAGAGAAAAGGGAAGAGAGAGAGAGGAAATAGAAAACTCAACATGAACCAAGACGCCATCATCTGTTTTACCCATCATGGGCGGGTGTTTTCGTCCTTCATAGAAGTTCTGAAGAAAATGAAGGAGCCAGGTGATGGACGTCCGTTAGTTTCCTCCGGAGGAACGATGTGGAGCGAAAGTTAGCGCAAGGTAAGATTGAAGGTTGGCGAGTCGATACTAGAGAGAGGAGGGAGAAAGTGGTCTCTTAAGAAATGTCGGGTTTTGCTTGAAAGAGGGGGTGATTTCGTAGTAAGGAAGATAGATATTGCTTCATCGATGATCAAGTATCGGATGAACTTCCTGAATGAGATACTTGCTCGACCATATCGCATCAAGCAAGCATATAAGATGAGTTTGGCTAAGTTGGTAACGTTGTATCATTCGGCTGGTTTGTTCACACGAAAGAAGTCGAGAACAAGCCTAAAGTTGAAGATTGCAAAGGTTATCAGAGAGAAGTATGGAGAAGACATCCGAAAACATCCCTTGGTAAAGATTCCGTTCTCGCCGAATGTAAAAACGGGCAAGGTTCGGGAGCTAGCGGTGATGAGTGTTGGGAGGGTGATTCCTGATGCATCTATGCGCCGATACATATGTGGGAGGGTGAGGGTAGTTCTCATGAAACGGAAGACAGTGGGGGATGTCATATGGATGAAGCACGATGCTGCGGGATGCACATGTGTAGGGTTGGATTTACCAAGGGTACAAGGACATGTGAAGGCACGAATTGATGATATCAACTATGCATCGGGATTCCTACACAACTCACGGAACATCACCAAGGGTCGGGAGAGGATCCAAAATATCGTCAAAGGAATCAAGGAAGCTGCTGGACCTTGGGCCAAAGGTAAGGAGGTTATCATGAAGGAAGACGATATACATGCATGTTGGGAGAAGAAGAGTGACAATCAGGTGGGAATGACGGAGGATCAAGTGAGGACATGGTTTGAGCCGTTCGTAGGATTAGTTGCAATACCTGTGGATAGGAATCCCGGTGCCACTGTGGTCGTATGTCCAGTTTTGTATCTTCATGCTCAGTATATGACGTTTCGTTGGAACGGTGGATATGTGTGGGTGAAGAAACATGAATCGGAGGTTTTGTATGAAGCAAGGAAAGATTACACATTTAGCGATCTAAAAAGGGCTGCTGAATGGGGAAAGCATGGGAGGATTGGGTCGGCATATGTGATACCGAAAGACAAGGACATGGAGCGATGGAGACCGATCGCTCCAGCGACCTCCGATCCCGCACGACTGGCCAGTGCTGGATTGGGTAGAGTCGTGAGGTATATGCTTATGTGCTTAAAAAGGAACTGTCACTTTGATCTTCCAGCAACCAATGAACTATGTCAGACCCTTCGAAGACATCAAAAGAGTCTAGGTAGAAAGAATGACGTAGTATTAGCTCGTAGTTATGATGTGAAGGACATGTTCACAAAATTATCCCATACGAGTGTAATAGAAGCAGTTGAGTGGATTTTGAAATTGAATGAGGATTATGAGGATAAGGGGATGCGGGCTGTTAGGGTGAGTTGGAGGGGGAAGGATTGCAGGATGTCTAAATCTCTGGCTAAGGAGGTTGGTTTTGTCTCAATAAACTTCATGCTTATAAGGAAAATGTTGGTGTACGATCTATCCCACGCATATATCAAAAGTGGGTCTATGATTCTTCGCCACGTGTTTGGCATTCCCATGGGAAGGAACTCTAGCCCAGCTCTAGCATGCGTTCTGTGTGCAAGAGCGGAAGCTTGTTTTCTCGCTTCGTTTGGGACTGATAGGCAACTAGTATGAGGGGTGCGGATGATTGATGATGTCGTGATATTCGTGGGGATTAATTCGCAGAGTATTGCATCTTGGGAGAAAGCCACAGATGTTTTGACAATTTTTGAGTCAGCTTACGACTCGGAACTGAAGCTGGTTCGCAAAGACAATTCTTTCAAATTTCTTGGGGCGATGGTGTATGTTAGGATCTGCCCGATCGATATTACCATCATCCCCAAGTCACGAAATCAAAGACCATTGTGCCAGAGAGGAGAAATTCGGATTCACTCCATGCAGGACTATGACTCATTCTCATTCAAGAAGGTGAAGAGGTCGGTATTAGCAGCAAGTATGTTGAGGATCACTCGGATGGCATCTACGGAGGAAGATGCTATAGCTGCGATCGGAGCAGTAATGATGGAAACCAACCTCTGGGGTTAACCCCGAAGGTCTCTCTCGGGTCTTTAGCTCGTTTTGCTAGAGTGGTCGGGGGTAAGTGGGGAGCTTTGCTCGACTTTTACCTCGACCTAAAGTAGTACCTGAGATAGGCACATAAGAGGCACACAGTATTCAGATGGTCTTTTTCGGCTTTTTTAGCATCTTTTAGCAATTTTTAGCATTTTCGAAGTCGGCACTTTGAATTAAAAAAGCCTGTCTACCAAAGGTACACGGTCTGTTTTTTTGTTTACTCTCCGTTTGCAAATTTTTGGGTGGGCTTAGAATGCGGAAGCAGCCGATCAGTTCGGGTTGGGTATTTGTTGATCCGAGATTTTTTATTTTTGCTTTTTCTGGAAGTATCGATTCAGAAAGGTGACGATCTAAGCACAAGCGGTATGAGTTCTTCACAAAACAGGCGTGGTCAATCGGCATATTTGGTAATACCGGTGATAGGGGACGATTAGCCACCCTTGGAAATAAGAAAAAAACGGTGACTCTGCAAGGTGGGGGAAGGGTTGGCTATGTCCGTTGGTTCTATCAAGAGATAGGGTGGTGGCCAATAGAGAACTCGAAGGTAAGACGACCGTCGGGTGGTGTCGAAGAAAGGGTGGAGCGGCGGGAAAGAGTCGTTGCAAGCCGATCCTGGGGGTCGTATATCCGCGAGGTGGTAAGCAACATGGGGCGGGAAGATAGATTTGGATGGACAGTAAATGGGAGAATTGGTGTAGCAAGGGGAGTTAGTGGGCATGTGTGGGCGGAGGACTCTCATAGAAGAAAGACTTTATTTGGATATGTGAGAGTTCGGGAGAAAGGGTAGTGGAAGTGAGCAGAATGAATGAAGGATTATGTGGGAAGAAGGGAGAATTGCCCGTTTGAGCAAGTTTGAGCAAGTTCATGGCTATATAAGCTAGAGAGAGGGATGGCCTTAACTCTCTCTTACCAGGCATTGTGATGCGCTGGGATATTGGAAAAGACTCCCTGATGATTGTGTGGTGTGCGCCCACGGCGAAACGCGTCGGAGTATCGCGTACTGGTTTTTAATGACATATCTGTTTTTTCCTATTTGGCAGGGCTGGTATCTGATTGTGCTTCTTGTGCGTGATCTTCCAACTCTCAATGCAGTGTGGCCGCTGTGTTTCTCCTCTAAACTCTCTCTCTCTCTCTCTCTCTCTCTCTCTCTCTCTCTCTCTCTCTCTCTCTCTCTCTCTCTCTCTCTCTCTCTCTCTCTCTTTGTCTTTGGATTACAATACTCCACATACGTGGCCACATACATCCGAAAGGAAGAGAAAAGAAATTGCAGCAAGAGATTCACGACATACACAGAGCAATTGCCTTCTTCTCCCTCACGGATACATGCATGGCATCTTAGTGCCAGCTTCCACCAAACAGACCAGCGGCTTCCCCCTACGCCGCATTTCGATCGGTTGCCAACCGATCCTCATCCGGGGGGATCCCTTAAACTTCAAACCGAAAGGCTGGCTGGATCGTCAGAGTTAGTTAACTACCTGTTAGTCTATGCCGTCACGGTTCCCCGTGGCTAGATTAGTTCCTTTATTCTAAGGCCATTTCGTCGGTCCACTGTGTTGTTCTGCTGACATCGCTCGTCTGACATCTCTCCCATTGGCACTGGTTACTGTAGATCTTTTGGACCATTGAATCAGTCAAGATACACTCTTCGCGGCCAGTTTCTCCGTTCCAACCCCGGTAGGCCTAGTTTTCTGCAACTCCCTTTAATTTGTAAGTCTTGTGTTCGATCCCATCTGGTACTTGTTTTCACATGTATAGCCACCAAATCCCCGGTTTGAATCTTCATACGTAGACGGACAGCCAACATGCTATTTTCTTCCACTCCTCTCCCTCTCTCTCCTCCTCTCTATGTCTCCTCTCCCTCCCTTTCTCTTCCCTCTCTCTCTCTCTCTCCCTCTCTCCCCCCCTCTCTGTTTCTTCCCCCCTTCCACCTCCATCCTATTCGGGATGGAGGTCACCCAGGTTTATTCGTTCCTGCTCTGCAAATATCAGAAAGGTCTTTGCGACGACTGCCTCCGGGTATGATCTCCGACGTAGTTCACGTCCGATGCACAGAATCGGGATATTTCTCAGTATTCCATCGGTCGAGCATCTAACGATGCGATGCAGGTAGCTCTTGATCATAGCTATCTTTGTCCGTTTGTCACGGTATCAGTAGTAGTTCTGGATACTCTGATAGAGACGAGTGAGGTGCCTTCTAGGCATTCTTGATTCTTCATCTGGAGAATCGAAGTGATCTTTGGCCTCTCCTGATCGACGAAGATCTTGCACCCCAGAAAGAGCAGAGTTTCGTCTCCTTCATCTGTGCATTCCAGCTTGAGGTCTTGTGGATAACACTTCCGCAGTTTTTCTATGATGTCTCTGGCTTTGCATGCCGATCCGGCCTCCTCCTTCACGAATCGTACGAAGATTGCCACGTCATACATCAGCCTGAGCGAGAGGATCAACTTCCGATCTCTACAGAGGCTGTGCACGAATAATGCTTCACTTTTTGCACATAGGATGCATGCCAGGGCAGGGCTAGTGTGCCCTCCCATCCGTATCCCGTTGATTTGTTGGATGAGTTCCTAAGGGAGTGTTCCAGTTCATACTCGACCCATTCCCGGACTTGCTCCAACTTTACTGAGTAATGCCCACCCCTAGCTCTTCTCCCTGTCGTCGGTCCCTTCCCTCGACAATTGACATTCACTCTGTCGTAGCCTTTTTTGAAGTTATTTCTCCATCAGCGTGATAATCCAATCTACTGATGCTTGGATCTTCGCGTGTGCCAGTTCTATGAACATGTTCTTAATATCATAACTGGCCACCAACACTCCTTGTTCGGGGTTTATACCTCCAGCCAAGTGTTGAATCTTCTGATAGCGTCCTCAGATGACGTCGTGTTAAAGTGCAGGCTCCTCGCGAGACTGCCAAGCATGCATTGCAGTGCCTTAGCGACTCTCTTCGATCCCTCTTTGGTAGGCATGCTCCACATCGGTGCTATCGGGCGCCATCTCTCAGGATCCTTGTGTTTTGGTATTACGTAGGCGCATACCTCCCTTTCTTCCTCCATGATCCCATCCTTCTCAAACCTTTCTCCTCGTAGCTTTCCTTGTTCTGTTTTAGTATATCCACCATCGATGCATCGCACATCTTGAAGTTGTCACCATGTCAGAATGTGTCTCTCAGTGCTATTGCGTATACCGTAGGGCAGACAATGTACGTCTCCCCCGACTTACGATCCATTGGCATGCATACCAAGTCGCGCAACTTCTTCTTCCAATCTTGCAGTTCTTGACACCGATCGTCCGAGATTTTCTCCCCCTCCTGCACACATTGATCTACCTCCATCATGTGTACGATCATATTTTTTCCTATCGTTTTGAAGATTTCTCCAAATGCGTCTAGAATCGTTGCCATAATACCTCACTTCACTTGGCCTGTCCGTTGAGGTGGTATGTTTCTCGCGTTGGGAAGAAAATCTGGCGCGCCGAGATCCGAGAGTCTACATCGTACGTGTCCTTCCACAAGTGGGAATGGGATATTTGCGCATCTGTAGATGCTGCCATTCGAGCGTGCGAAGTCCCGATGGTTGTGAAGTATGTCTGCTGTTGCCTGTTTCTTTGTCCAAACGGTGTGAACATGTCTTCGTACGATGCATGTGATTTCTTCTCTCATACCGAGATCACCAATCTTCTCCTTGGTTACATCCCCAATCCTCCTGTCCACCCTGCCATCATAGGGAATCTTTACTGTGATTCTCTTTCTTAGATTAAACCCCTGTTTCTTGTTAATTACCCTCGATAGAATATTCCTGATCCTCTGTCTACTTCCCTTGTCAAAACCCCTAGAAGCTTGGTACATGTAAGTCAACTCTCGTCCGTCCTTCTTCCACAACAATTTTTTGCGCCATGGCTGAGTGAGCAGTAGTAATAGCTCCCTCTTGGTCTTGGGAAGGAAAGTAGTCGTCTCCGTCGGATCCTTTACAGTCAGCTGCCCTCCTCCTTCAATCAACTTTTTCCCGTCTTTAAGCAAGCAAGTCATGCCCCTCATTTCGATCAGAGTCATGTCAAACCTTCGTTTGAGGCAACAAAAAAATTGTCGCTGATTTCCAACTTGTTCTCGCACCATTGTCCAACTTCTGCATGCCACAAGGGCGGTGACCAGCTGTTGAACGTGGGTCTTCTACTGTGTTCAACCTCATTTCAACATGATCAATTTGTTCTCTACACGTTACACATGCGTTCCAACATGGATTTGTACTGGCGTCCAACATGAACCAACACGTTTCCAACATGGTTTGATACTGCAGGCCAGAGCTGCGACAATGCGTGTTTTCGCACAACCTTTTGGTCCCCACTACAGGGATTGTAGTGGGGACTCCTAGTTTCTGTGTTGGCGTCCCTGTTTTTACTCCGTGGGATGTACTTGGACATGGGCATCATGCGCACCAACAAGTGGGAAGTGGCGTAGAATATAGTGAACGAGACCGACCGGGGCCATTGGACATTCAACCGGAGACGTCGTGAATGCCATCTGAAAACCTTACGAGCTGCGGTATGCGGCCGGAGCAAGGGCGCCGTTGCAACTGCAGATGGGGCGCGGCGTGGAAACGGCAGTGGAAAAAAAAGCCCGACACTGCTTTTTTTCTTCTGCCTGTTATCGTCACTTCGGCGCATTCAGGAGAATGCTTTGTCACGGTACTCGTACTTCGGGCGACCCCGCAAACACAGCCCGTGTGTGTGTGTGTCCCCCCCCCCCCCACCGCTGCCGAGACCACGCCGGACCGGAAACGCGGGTCTGAAGCTTATTCACCATCAGCAGCCCTTTTTCCCCATGCCCCATTACGAACTCAAACCCGTACAGTCCCGTAGTCCGTTTTTTTTTTTTTTTTGAGAAAACTACACCGCAGTGAGGATTTGAGTTTGTAACGGCACTCCCGATGCAAAAGGGCCGGTAATGCTGAATGTATATGACCTGGGTTTTGGGTCCGGTGGGGTCTCGTGTGGGTGTATTGTATTCGCGGGATTGCCTGATGTGCAAATACAAACAGTTTTCGTGAGTGCGGCGAAGTTGCCCCTTTCTTTTTTCTTTTTTCTTGGCGCGCCCATTTGGTGAGAGTGTCGACGTCCCTTGTGCCATTCGACACCCTCTCTTCGTCACCCTCCCATCTTACCGCTGCTGCCGCTGCCGTTGGAGACCTGGCGCCCGCCACTTCACACCACCGGTTTACCGCTGTTGCCGCT